AGATATGACCTAGGGTTAAGTAGGTCACTGAAACCTTATTTTTTCCACTTTCCATAAAATTCCGCTTTACATAAAATGTTCTAACATGCATTTTGAGTTTCAGGTGGGGGAACGAGAAGACTCGCCAGGTACGCTTTTACAGTTTACAACACCGTCTTTCTTGTACTTTCATACTGTACTTTTCATGTTAACACAAGCTTGCATACTAAACAATGATGTCATCCTGCATAAAAACTAAAACTGTCAGGATAGCCACAGAAACAAAACCCAAAACCAAAATTATAATTAATCAAGATAAAAAATCACCTTCACAACATTCAAAATATAAGACAACTCACAATTTAATCACAAACATCACGTAAAACAATCTTCAACTAAATTAAAACATCTTACGGTTGCTAACGAGTCTTCCCACAGTCTAAATGAAATTATGGAACTCATTAAGTTAAGTTTAGTAAATTCATTTGGACTAAGTGAATCCAAGAGAAAATAGTGGTGGCAAAATGAGGGAACCGTAGGATCCTAACTGGTGTTGCTCTAATCAACTTTTAACATCCCCCACAAAATTTAAAGAACTACAACTATAGGGCCATCTGATTTGACATCCTAACTTGACACCTCGCGGCAAGGAGCTTGGAGCTAGTATGGTGGGCAGCACAACCATCTTCAACAGCAAAACACATCTTCCTCAGCTAAACTAATTTATTTCCTTAGAATTCAATAAGCAAGTCATAGGACTTTGCGGTATTTTGCTTATGCAACATAAATCCTCACCTCATCTTTAGGCCTTTGTACAGCTCTGCTATACAATATAAGCCCTAACTCGTCTTAGGGTTCTGAGGTTGTCCTTCGTTATGACTTAAATCCTCACATCTTCCAAGCTATTTGTGTGATCGTTCCACACAAATATAAGCCCTAATTAAATAAAATTGGCAGGATGAAAAACCTAATTATTTCTCCTCTAAACTGAAGCCAAACAATAGGATAGATTGGGAAGTCACCGAGGTTCTCCTTCGGATCCATGACATCCCCTAGTTCTTCCTTCTTTGGATTCTAAAAACAAAATGCTCCAAACTTGAGTCAATCTCATTTCACACCTCTGTGTCTGATCTCGTTGACAAGTCTTATCCTTTTTGAACTCCTTGAAGATAATATTTTTTTATTTTTATCGAAAGTTTTCTTAGGTGGCTTTGGTCATTTAAGATGTAGTTGACTATAGGGGCTTGCCCTTCTAGGAAACTTGTCCGAACCCAGCCTAATATAAACCCTATTTAATTCTTCATATTAAATAGGGGAAATTATCAACAAATGCAACGGTTTTGCAGATCAAATGGATGTCATACATTTCTTAGTTTATTTGATCGAGCCTCATCCTCAAGTCTTGTGTTTATCCTTCAGGATATATACAGGGTTTGAGGTATAGCGATCTTTCATTTAAACTATGAAAAATATGGGACCAGTTTGATTTCATATTTTTCTAAACTTAAAATGTCCTTCAGAAGCAGGTGACAAGATTTCAATTCCAGCAACCGACAGTTTCTTACGGGCAACTCCTCCAATCAAAAATAGTGTCGACAACCAATATCCCTTGATTTTGATCGAGAGCTTTTTTAAATGACTTCGGTTATCTGAGATGTAATTAAATATAAGGGCTTGCCTTTATAAAAAACTTTCAAGAACCCGGCTTAATATAAACCCTATTTAATTTTTGATATTAAATAGGGGAACTTGTCGGCTTATAATGAAATGATTTCGTAGATCAGACATATGACATATATTTCTTAGTTTATTTGAATGAGTTCCACTATCAAGTCATGTCTTTGACTTTTGAGATAAATACATAGCTAGAGGTATAGTGTTCTTTCATCTAAACTTTGAAAGATATGAGATTGATTTGATTTCATAAATTTCTAAACTAATATGTATATGTATATATATATATGTATATATATATATATATACATATATATATATACATATATATA